ACCCGGAATGGCCTCCCAGGCCCGCATTTATGTGGCCAGGGGCTGGAGCACCACAAGCTGTGAGTTGCCAAACTGAGGCAGGGTCTCGATGCTTGTGTTGTTGCAAGTGTGCAACATATGGATTAAATATGGATTAACTCGTTAGGGCCTCTGTACATATGGAAGATTTAGAAGTAGCTGTAACCCATTTGTAGAGATGGCAGAGAACGTCTGCCAGGGAAACACGGGCTTAAAGCTATACCATGGAAGAATACACATATCGGATCCCCTCGGGTCACTACATATGGCACCCAGTCTCCTACTGGTTCTCATGGATTCATCGATTGAATGCCTGGTGGAGGGTGATGGAGGAGTTCGACAGGGTCTGAAACTGAACTGTCTGGAGCAGAAATATCACAATTTGTGACAAAGCAAGCCGACACTAGCCGGGGCCCCTTGGTGCTTCTACCTGTTTGAGGCGAGAACACAGGAGGATACCAGCTCAACATGAAGGCTATAAAATCTAGCGAACGTGTTGGGGGTCACCCAGCCCGCAGCTCTACAGATGTCTGTTAGCGAGGCGCCACGAGCCAGCACCCAGGAGGATGCAACACTTCTAGTAGAGTGATCTCACAACTTGAGCGGGCAGGGCACTCCCTGTGCCTGATAAGACTATCCAGTGGGCCATCCTCTGCTTGTAGACGGCAGAGGGCCTCTGTAACAGACAAAGAGCTGATCTGAGGTCCTGAAGCTTTGTGTCCGTTCCACGTACCATCTCAAGGCTCGGACGGGACAGAGAAAAGCTAGGGCTGAGTCTGCCTCCTCCGGGGGCAGCGCTTGCTGTTTCACTACCTGATCACTGAAGGGGGTAGTAGGAACCTTGGACACATAGCCGGGCCGGGGCATCAGGGTTACCTGGGAGTCAGCCGGCCCAAACTCTAGGCACGATTCGTCGACCGAAAATGCGTGCAGGTCCCCTACCCTCTTGATGGAGGCCAATGCAACCAGGAGCAGAGTTTTCAATGAAAGAAACTTTAGCTCGAAAGGGCTCTGCTGTAGTGCTCTGAGCACCAGACTCAGATCCCAAGAGGGTATAGAGGGAGGTTGAGGAGGATTGAACCTTACCGCTCCCCTAAGGAACCTGATGACCAGGTCGTGCTTCCCTACCATCTTACCGTCGATGGGGTCGTGATTCACAGATACTGCAACAATGCAGACTTTAAGGGTGGAGGGAGACAGCCTTCGCTCCAACATTTGCTGCAGAAAGGAAAGCACGGCTCTGATCAGGCATCTCCAGGGGTCCTCTCAGTGAGAGGAACAACATCTGATGAACAAGTTCCACTTCAATGTTTAAGCGTGTCTCGTAGACGGCGCTTGCACCGAAGTGATGGTGACTACCTCTGTCTCTACCGCTACCTCTTGGGGTAGGTTACCTAGAACCTCCGTGTCCCATCCAGGCACCAAATATGGCGTTTCCAGAGGTCCAGACGCGGGTGCCACAGGGTGCCCCATCTCTGAGAAAGTAGATCCTTCCTCAGAGGAATCTGCCACGGCTGTCACAAGGAGCATCAGTTCTGTGAAAGGGTAACTATGGCGCAACGAGCAAGACCTGCTCCTCGTCCTCCCTGATCTTGCACAGTGTCTGTGCAAGAAGGCTCACTGGGGGAAACGCATACTTGCGCTGGGCCCACGGCCAGCTGTGTGCCAGCGTGTCAGTGCCTAGTGTTCCCTCGGTCAGGGAGGAAAACAGCTGGCAGTGAGAGGTTTCTGGAGAGGCAAACAGGTCTACCTGAGCCTCTCTGAAACATCTCCAAATGAGCTGGACCATCTGGGGATGGAGTCTCTATTCTCCCGGGAGCGCAGCTTGTGACAGCTCATTGGCTGCACGTTTGAGCAGACCAGGAATGTGAATGGCACAAAGTGACCTCAGATGCTTCTGACTCCAAAGGAGGAGATGGTGGGCGAGTTGCGACATGTGACGGGAGGCAAGGTGTACTGCTAGCAACTCGAGGCAGTTGATGTGCCAATGTAGTTGGGGGCTCGTTTGAACCACTAACACTGCAAACCCATTTTACGTGCCCCCCCAGCCGGTGGTGGAGGCATCCGTGTGTACCACATCATGCCTGGAGACCTGCTCTAGGGGCACTCCTGCCCAAAGAAAAGTAAGGTCTGACTACAGGCTAAAGGTTTGGTGGCAGGCCGGTGTGATCTGCTCCCGGTGAGTGCCGCGTCTCCACTTGAGCCCTGGATTCAATTCAGGCATTGCTACCACCCCAGACAGCAGCAGCACAGCCAAATCTTCCTCTCCAGAAAGCTCAAGCTCACCTTCCGATGCAGAAATTGACATCAGTCATCGTGAGGAGCCCCAAAGGATAGGACTGGTACACTCCTTTTAGAGGTCCCAGCACGTTCCTTGGGCAGCTCGACTAGTTGCGGAGTGCTAGAGGTTTGAGGGACCCTGGGAGGTTGGTTACTCGGAGGGGTAGCCATCACTGTGATCCTCAGACCGATGGTTGAGTCTGATTTGATTAACTGATTCATCGAGTATACTAAAAAGAACCAGTTCAAAATAACAATTTGTTTGTGAACATCATTTTATTTGCCTGAGGCTCTGGATTACAGACAATAATGGTGAAAATAATGTTCAGTTTCTTGCACAGGCTGATCGTTTCGATTCATAAGACCTCAATATATCATTAGAAGCCACAGGTTTTAATTTTGTATTGCTTTTTTGACTCTCAAATCATCAAGGACCATGGTTTCAGCAAAAAACTTATTTACTATTACACCTACACCCCCAGTGTATCTTGGATGCAAGCTTTATTTTTTGGGTGAACTGCTGGATTTAGTGTTTTGCTTTAGAACTGGGAATTGTTTTGATATCAAGAAGCTGTACTGTAGATATCAGGACTGAACGGTGATATCAACAGTCCGCTGGTCGTTGGTTAAGTGTTTAGTTTGATGTCAGTTTTATGAAAACAACTAGCTTCTGTTGACAGATTGCATGTAATATTAAGTGAAATGTTTTGTTCTGAGCTTAAGACATCTTTTCATATGTCCACAAATATGGCTTTCTTAATAATACATATGCTTTAAATAAGAATGTAAATATTTAGAAAACATTTTTTATTTTTATGCCACATTATAATGATAGAATGTGTGATGAAAGTCTCTTATGCAATGCTTTGCAACATGCTGCTTCATAAACATTTCACAATTTGAGGGCTGATGTTGTCTCGTTCTACACTGTCTCTTTCTTTGTTCTCTTATAACTGTACTGTGATGGGATGTACAGTAGTGTATGTCTGAGTAGATCCATCAGCCTCAGCAGCCCAAAGCTGTGTTACTGGGAGTCTGACAACAGCATTATTTTGCAGGTAATTTTCAATAGAAGCTCTTTTTGGACGGAGGATAAAGCCCTCAAAGTCGCAGTGTGTTTCCACAGTACAATGAACTCTTACTTGAAGTTGAAATATCAAGGAAAATGTGATTCCTCATGATGGTTTACCAAAGTGTTTTTTTTTTTTTGCTTTATTCTGTTATCGCTCAATCTTTTGTACGTTATGCGGAACTGGACTCTTCATGAACACACTTGAGTGTTGATGTGCATGACTGTGCATGAGTTGGGGTTCCAGAGGTTAAATGGGTAGGTGGCATAAGAGCTATATAAGATGCCCACTACAATTTAGAGATCTCTAGAGAGAGACAAAGAAAGCTGTATCTGGTCCAGAGCCTGAGCATATAGTTTAGTCTTGCGCTGTGAGAGTATGTCTGCTGCTGTGACTCTAGCGCTGCTGTTCTTCTTGTCTGTGGCGCTGAACGAACAGGTGACCGAGGGCTGCAGATGTTTACCAAAACACCCTCAACAGCAGTTCTGCGCGTCTGATATAGGTACGTCAAACACATGCATAGCTAATCAAACACGAACAGGTGCAGTATTCAGATCTGGAGATTGCACGCTGCTTTAAGATGTTACGAGATGTTAAATTTCTTGCATTTCAGTTCATTTACATTAGTTCATTGACTTGAATTATTGAACTACACATTAGGTTTATGGAAAGTACGATGATGGAACCTTAAATGTTTTCTAAATTATAGTATAAGACAATATATAACATTATTTATTTAAATCTGTTTTTTTTTTCAGTAACAAGAGCTCTTTTCTTGTGTAGTGTCAAATTATTTAAAGGGACAGTTCATACAAAAATGAAAATTCTGTCATCATTTATTCACCCATGTCATTTAATACCTGTATGACTTTTTCCATGTGTAACACAGTAAGATATTTTGAGAAATGTCTGTGTTTTTCAATGGGCTCCAGTGTTGTTTGGTTCCCAATATTCTTTCAAGTATCTTATTTTGTGTTCAATCTTGGAAAACTTGAAATGCGAAATATAAAAAATATTTTTGCTTCGGAAAAATGTAATGTAATCCAGGAACATTTTAATAAATAAAATGAACTAATTTTTGTCACATCTGACTTTTTTACCAATTAGTGATTCGAGCTAAGGTCATTGGAAAGATGCCCAGCACTCGCCCTCAATTAACTGCATACAAAATCCAAACTATTCAGGCGAGAAAATGTAGGCTACTTGACACATCATTTTCCAATACAATCTCTTTTAACAAGAAATATGTGTGTTTGTGTGAGTGTGTATATATATATATATATTATTATTATTATTTTTTTTTAATCCAGACATTTAAGCAATTAAACAAGAGAATTCAGGTCATCTACACAAGGTCAACTCAAATGTCATGTGGCATCAATCTGGAAAACGGCGAGTATCTGCTGTCAGGTAAAATCATTTACTATCTCTAGGCAGAGTTTGAGTTGAAACTGAACACCCTGATTCCTGATGCTGGCTGTTACCATCAGTTGAGGCTGAAATATGCTACACAAATTATGCCCAGGTTTTTAGCCCAATTTACAGTTTGGACAGGTTTTGGGCCATGTGAGTAGACAGATTTCACAGAAAATCACATTGTGTATTCAGTATTCAACTTCATTTTTTTAGATTTCATCCAGTCTGAGAATATCACAGTTTGATAATATTTGAGATGATTTTAGAGCACATATCATTTTCACTTATCATGCATCTCTTAGCAACAAGACAGGTTTCTGCATGAGTCTGTGGTGTTTGGAATGAGTTCAGAGTCTGTTTGTTTGTGTATGACATCCGGTTTTTCCTCTGTAACATTTACATAGTCAGCATAGCATATTTGTTCGGATTTGATCTGTATTCCAGTCAGATCAATTAAGCATTACATTCAATCTACCATTTTGAATGTTGTCAAACACGTACTAATGCATTTGCATACTTGCACACGTGTGGCATTTGCATACTTGGCTTTGTAATTTCTACTTGCAGCCCTTTGTATTAGCCTCTGACTGTTATCAGTCATTTATTGTATTTTTTCAAGTACTAAAACAGTTGTTGTGGTGTTATAAGTATAGATATGAATTCAGTAATCTCTCAAACTGTGATCTCTACAGATCTCGCCCTGTACTGTAGCGTCCTGTTTGATCGAGATTCTTCAGAATAAATGCCTGATAAGAGTCAATAATTCATTCAGTATTGATGATGAAGAGGCTCTTCAGCCTATTTGCCTGCCAGGCAGTGGTGGCTTCTGCAGATGGCAACAAATTCTTGTTAAATAACTACAAATGCTCCTAAAAATGATGCCCGGAAAAGAACAAGTGCATCAGCCATTCTTCAGTGTGCATTTTTGCCCTTTTGTTCTCCAGAATGCTTAGAACATTTTGAAATGAATTGAAACAATTTAAAGGGGTCATATGATGCGATTTCAATTTTTCCTTTCTCTTTGGAGTGTTACAAGCTCTTCGTGCATAAAGCTATGTGTGAAGCTTTTCTTAATTTTTTTGTTAATAAAATAAGTAATCTAAGATTGGGGATAACTCCCTCTTGCTTCGATCCCTCTTTGCCCCCTGTTTGTAGTGCTGCTTTTAGTCATTTTAAACCCATTTCTGGCACTCATCTTCAAGAAATAGTGGATCAGCTTAAGCCTTCGGGCTCTTCTGTTGATATAATTCCTCCATATTTTCTTAAACAAGTTTATGATGTAGTTGGTACACAGCTCTTGTTTATGATAAATCACTGTTTAGAAACCGGTATTGTACCTGACTTATTAAAACATGCAATAGTCCACCCCCTGCTTAAAAAACATAACTTAGACCCCACAGTGTTTAGACCTATCTCAAATTTGTAATTTATCGCTAAGATTTTGGAGAAAATTGTCCTACAGCAATTGCAGGGTTTTCTAGATGACAACATGATTTTTGAAATATTTCAATCCGGTTTTAAAAAACATCACTCTACTGAGAGTGCATTGTTGAAAGTTTTAAATGATATTTTAGTAACCTGCGATTCTGGCAACTATGCTGTGCTTGTGCTCCTAGATTTGACCGCTGCATTTGATACGGTCGATCACGAAGTTCTTATTGCTCGGTTGGAGCAATGCGCAGGCATTAAGGGTAGTGCCTTAAATTGGTTTAAATCTTATTTTTCTAATCGAAGTTTTTCAGTTAATATTGGAGATCATTTTTCTAGTGCTGTTTCTTTATCATGTGGGGTTCCTCAGGGATCAATTTAGGCTCCCATTCTTTTTTCAATATACATGCTCCCACTTGGTTCTATCTTCAGGAAGTATGGGCTGTCATTTCATTGTTATGCTGATGACACCCAAGTTTATCTGCCCTTAAAACGTAATTCAGACGGTTTGGACACTCTCATGACTTGCTTGTCAGATGTGAAGTCCTGGTTGTCTCTAAACTTTCTGAATTTTAATGAGAGTAAAACAGACATTATAGTCTTTGGTCCTTCAGATTCAATTCATAATCCCAAAGCAAATCTTGGTGGACTGTCTTCATGTGTGCAGACATTGCCACTGTTTTCATGGAGATATGCAATCAACCATTAAACTATTTTGCATGTAAAAGCGTCTGTGTGTATTTAATGGGAATTGTAAGCATGTTTATATAAATATGGATGTTCTTAGTGCCAATGCCTTATGTCAAAAGTATTCGTCTAGTATTGTTTTTCGCTTTTCTATTCTGATAAACATTGAGTTAAAAAGGGATTTTAATTTAAAAAACTGCAATAACAACAACGTTTAAGGTTTATTCCACAGAACCACAGCCACATCAGACAGCAGGAAAAGTCTACTTCACTAGAAACCACAGAAACGGCATATTAGCTTGTTTGCACAATGCAGAAAATTGATAAAGATTGTAAAACTGCATTACAGCGGCGTTATATTGAAACACAGTGTGTATACGCTGCATAGAATAGAGGGAGCACTACTGAGACAGATTGAATCCGCTGAATGACAACAAATAAACGAATGTATTCTTTTAGAAAAAAACATGATCAGAAATCAATTTCAATTAATTTCTGTTTGTATTTCTCTTAAAAAAGGCAAAACAGCAAACACTTTGCCCAAATGACCAAAATATCCAAATAGTATAAGCCTATTTCTTCCTGAAAAATAAATAAATAAATGTATTTATTTAGCAGATGTTTCATCCAAAGCATCAGAACAGAACCAAACCCTTATGAAAAGTAGTACACTTTAGCAAACTTTATAATAAATAAATATTTAAATATAAGTTCATGTCATTACTTGTAAATACAACACATTGGGATTGATGTGTATTAGCTTTAAATGTAATATAAAAAAAAACACTACAATTAAAATTACAATAAAATACTTTACATGTCCTGTACATCTTTAACGCACAATAATTATTAAATTATTAAAATTAAAACATTATTATTAAAAATGTACTTTAAAGTAAAATCTTTAAATTTGAACTTTTTACAAAATGCATTTTTTAAAAGTGTAATTAAGTGCATAAGGAAACAGCCATGGAAGCGTCTCTTTTTTAGTAGACTTAAGTGGCATTTATTCGATTAATATTATATTATCTGCAATTACAGTTCTTTTTTATGTACCTTTAATATTTGAAGTACACTACAAGTGCACAGTCACTACTATTAGGCACACATGTTTTTTTCACAAGGGGGTATGTTAGCAGCCAGCAGTGTTTTATTTTTTTTATTTTTTTGTCATCAGGACATACATTTTCAGTACTACTAATCAAAGTACATAATACATTTTATTTGCCGTACCATATAGTGTTTAAAAATCTAATATATAATATACAAAAAACCAAAGTGTCACATATTTTGTTCTTTATCAAAATCAATAGCTTGCCATATTTAGAACAAAAATGGATTCAAATCGAGTGAAACGAATGAAAAACAAGGTTGTTTTGTACTTACCATGTCCCTGTAGTTTGAGTAGAACGTCTGATCAACAAGAGGGAATTTATCTGCTCCCAGTCTCTTGTAGATGCTGATCAGTTGAGCAAACTGGGAGAAAACAGAGAATCAGTCTGGATGAAAATGTTGAAAGCACTGAAAGTGTCATTTAGCAGTGTCTATGCCACAATGTGGTCTGATCTGAACTCACAATTATACATTATTACACATTCAAAAATAACTGCATACCTGTATATATTCTGAACCCAGAAACCACTAGTTTTAATGCTCCTCAAATTGGCAATTTTTAAAAAAAGAAAAACACACAGTACAAAACAACATGTCTACTCACAGCCCATGGCTTGTCACAGAGGTTGTAAATGGACTCCAGCGAGTTGACACTGGGGATCCCGGCATAATGCAACCCGATGATTATATTGCGGAAATCTTCATTCTGTGCCATGCTATAAGCGTGCTGTCGCACCAAGACGAAGTCAGGCTTGAAGGACAGGTCTGTTGTGTTTCAGGGTAGCTGCTGAAACATTGTGAACATACCTCTTTAAGGAAAATAAACTTCTTTCCTTAAATATAATTTGATTCCTTGTCTCTTACACTGTGATGCTATTTGTTAATAATTGTTTTTGCCACAACAGACCTGTGTGAACAATAACATATATCAAGAACAGAGCAAAAGTGTCAGTCTATTATCTGTTTAACATTTAAATTGAGTAGTGTTTAATTATGTGTGTACTATTTTACACTATGCTAAGCCTATTGAGCAAAACCACATAAAAATAACTAACTGTTTCCTTAAATATCACTAATAATAAATAGATTTAATGTCTAGCTTTGTCGAAAGATAAGTAAGAAAAAATTGACTTGTGGCCACATCGTGTGCATTATTTTCTACGGACCGGAGTCAATTATTCTACTTATACTACGGTTACCACACCTCAAAGCATTGTTCAGATGTTGTATTCCAACACATTTGTCAGGTTTTTGTCCTAAAAACAGTTATGTGAGTAGGATTCATTTCTTATGCATCTCAATCCGACGACTCCGCTGCTAATTTCAAAACGTCAGACCTAGCAATGGATGCTTGAGCCATTGATAGCAGACAAATGCAGTTAATAATTAAGTTATTAGAGATAGAGAGAGAGAAGCGTGTGTGAATTTCCTCTGTGAGTCTGTGCGTCTCTCAACAGTGTTCGGCAGCAGTGTCTCTACTAATAGCCAAACTGTAAGTTTATCTGCTTCAACAACAGCGCCATTATTACCTCACTAGTAAGAAATGTTTGTAGTTTAAAGTAGCTAAACAATTTTTCTGAAAAATCACCAGAGCAGTGCTGACAACATGTTTCTGCATGGCTGTGTGTCCGTAGTACTGTATGTTTGTTCGTTTGTATAGGGAGAGAGAGCAGGAAAAGGATTTGTCGTTTTTACCTTGTTGTTTATTATATTACTTCCGGGGCGCTGTTCGGCGGCTGACCCAGAGCCTCACGCTAAACGTTGTTTTTTTATAGTTTTGTCTCGCTACGTGCTATTGTTTTGTCGTGATTGTGTGGTTGAGCTTCCTGCACTGTGGATTATGGAGATAACTAGGACATGGCTAATTCTGAACGCCTTATTTTCACTGTTTTCCATGAACAACTCCTTGTCTGGGCCTAGGCAAGATGTGACCTACTCCAGAGAGTACCTGATGTCTCTACAAAGACATGCAGGACAGCTGGATCTTGAATTATTAATGCACGATTGCACCGAAATCGCACGGAAACCTAACTTAAAAGCGAAGAAGTTGAAGAAAAGGGGTGCAAGAGGGGGTATTCGGGCCAGGCTTCAGAAGCGAGGTGCACGATTCCCTCTTCCGATGATAACGCTGTCAAATGTGTGGTCGCTTAATAATAAAATGGATGAACTGATGGCCAGGGTAAAAGTCGAGAATGACTTTAAAATGAGTAACCTGATCTGTCTAACTATCGATCGGGAGAGGTATTTGTATCTTTGTGAACAGTAAATGGGCAACACAACTGCGCATTCATGAGAAAGTGTGCACCCCTGACTATGAGTTGCTTTCTGTATCATTTAGACCGTTCTATCTTCCAAGGGAATTCGGACAGATTACCATCATTCTGGTTTATATACCGGGACCTAAATATGAGGAAGCTGCTGGTAGGATAAGTGAGAGTTTTAACAACGCACTCAGCTAACCCATTAAGGGCCTTATAGGCAAGTAATAATATTTTGTAACTGATACGGAACTAACTTACAAACTGGGAAATTTTCTTTGATAACTGTGTAAGCGCAAATGAGTTAACAGAAACAATAACATCTTACATTATTTTCTGTGAGAATAATGTTGTACCAACAAAAACTGTTAAAATATACCCTAATAACAAGGTTTGGGTTTCACAAGAAATGTCTAAGTGAGAAAAGGGCTGCTTTTGCTCAAGGTAATATGGTGCTCTTTAAAGACAAAAGACGTGAACTTAGAGTGATTATTAGAAAGTCCAGGCAGCAATATAGAGATAAAATGGAGAAACAGTTTGTCACTGGGGATGCTCGTAAAGCATGGAGCAGTCTAAATGATATGATGGGTAGAGAGACCCAGAAGCAACATTGCCTACCCACAAATATTGGTTAATTTGCGAATGAATTAAATCAGTTTTATAGTAGGTTTGACAAAACCACACATGCAGTTAGGGCTGACCAAGTGTGTAGCCATGTCTGGAATACCATCACTCTTACAGAGGAGGATATAGCTGGTTGTCTTGCTAGGGTACACCCTCATAAAGCACCTGGCCCGGATGGTCTTAGAGGGAGGGCCATAGCAGGGTTCATTTACTAACTTAAAGGTGTTTTTACTAGACTATTTCAGATTTTGCTTGACACACACACTGTCCCACATTCTTGGAAGAGAACCACACTTATCCCTGTTTCGAAAAACTGCAACCCTGTATCACCTAATGACTTCAGACCTATTGCCCACCTAATGACTTTAGACCTATTGCCCTCACCAGCATTCTATGTAAATGCATGGAAAGGGTTGTGTTAGGGCGTCTGCCAAATACCCATTTGTCTGACCAACTGCAGTTTGCTTATAAGGCACAGAGAGGCACTGAGGATGCTACGTTAACTCTGCTGCATGTGATTAGCAAGCACATTCAGCATCCTGGCGCTTTTGCTAGAATTTTATTTATTGATTTTAGTTCAGCTTTTAATACTGTCAGGATTGGCATTTTATTAGATCGGCTATTAAAACTGGATACCAATGGGCACCTTGTGTTATGGATCAAGGACTTCTTAGCTAACCGTCCTCAAAGAGTCTCTGTAAAGGGTACCATGCCTGATGAGGTTATTCCGAACACTGGAGTCCCCCAAGGTTGTGTGTTATCACCTGCACTGTTTTCTATGTATATAAATGAAATGCAGATTTGTGAAAGTAATTTAATTTATTTAAGTATGCTGATGACATGGCTATGGTTGGTCTCATGGCCAGAGGAAAGGGGGATTTAGAGAGGGCTTATTTTCAGCATATAGTCCACCTGGTGGCATGGTGCGAGGAGAGTGCTCTGTCACTAAATGCTTTTAAAACCAAGGAACTTGTTGTCAGTACTAGTAAGGGCAACCTACATGTCAGCCGATCATAATTGGGGGCCGACATGTTGAGATTGTAAATAGTTTTAAATATCTAGGGATTATCCTAGATTGTATCTTAAATTTTATTGAGCACACAGACTATATCTATAAGAAGGCAAGCCAAAGATTGTTTCTTTTGAGGAAACTAAATAGTTTTAATGTGAGTAAGGGAATCCTGAGGATGGTTTACACTAGTTTGCTGTAAAGTATTATTTCCTATAAAATCATGGGAATCTGGGGGCTCGAAGCAAAAGTAAGATCACATTGGACCCCCAGAGGCAGCTGGTGGAACTGTATACAAACCAGACCAGGAGGAAAGCCTCACAAATAGTTCAGGACTCCACTCACCCTCTCCAACATGAATTTGAAAAACTTCCTTCAGGCAGACGATACAGGCTACCCATAGCAAAAATAAATATTTTCAAGAAATCTTTTATACCATCTGCCATTACTTTATTAAATAAATGATTTATAATCAGGTCTATGTATATTATGTAACTGACTGCTGTTATCTATTTATTAATATTATTTAGTTATTTATTTATTAATGATCTATTTATGGTTTTAGTACTATTAGCCTAATTTCTATATATTGCTTTTATGTTTCATGTGTCTGTAATCCTTGGGGAAAAATACGTTCTTGTACTGTATGTTTTGTGTGTCTGTTGTATTGGACTGTGAAGTCAAGTGTATATGTGGCAGTTCTATATGTTTTTGTGGGGCCGAAGATGAATTTCCACATGTGTGGACAATAAAGATTTATAATCTAATCTAATTCATTTGCTTGGTCAGTGTCATTGAGGGTTTTGTCAAGCTCTGGGCCCTATGTACTCTTTCACCCTTTTCCCCCCACTAGCAATGCCCCTGCCTGCAGTATAATACCTTTTAAATACTTTCTTTTAAAGATGAAGAACATTTGGACTATTTTCTGTTTGAAGAGGCAACACAAAATGGTATAAGAGTAGACATTTACATGAAAAATAATAAACATTGTAATGAATATTGAGACATGGAGCGAAATATGTCAGACACCTTCACTTGCCGTTTGCTTGACATTGTTTATTTGCTTTTTATTTATTAAAGCAACATTTCTACAGTGAATCAGAGATGATCACTCTTTGATTATTATCCATTATCACAAACTGTAAAGAAGCTGGACTTAATTTTCCTCATTAGCAACACTAGGAAAAACAGTCTATTTATCACGGTTGCACTACTGAGTGGAGTGCGGAGCAAGGAACGGAGGGAGACGAGGAGTACATCAATCCAGAGAATTTTAATTATAACAAGGAAAACTCACATAGCACATGTAGACATAAACAATACCGAACGCTGAACTGAAAACAGGGAACACTATTTAACACATGACAAGACGAGGGGATGACGAGACACACCTGGGATCAATGGAAATAAACAGGGAACACCTAGAATTAAATCAACATAATCAGGACAGGAACAGGAAACAAACCAAATATGGGCATAAACACTGGGACACAGGGAGCACATGGGGAACAAAGCATAACACAAGCCTGACATGACGTCCCCCTCTGGAAGGCGCGTCCTCGCGCCATACAACATCAAAGGGGTGGGAGGGTGGGCGCCTTGTCGGGGCGCCATGGCGGATCTGCAGACTCGGAGGCCATGGCGGAGCAGGCAGACGCGGAGGCCATGACGGAGCAGGCAGCCCAGGAGGCCACGGTGGAGCTGGTAGTTCAGGAGGCCATGGCAAAGCAACCTCCGAGGTCGCTACGGCTGG